TTTGATATGATTTTTAAGTATCTAATGCCATAGCATTCTGCACGCCTTGTTCGCCCATCTCCTTTATATAGAAAACCTTCATAAAGAGCAATTTCCTATAATTCATCTTTAGTGTTTAAAGTATTTAAATTAAAGGTTCATGTGTTTGACTTATTCGTAAAAATTAAGACTACTCTTTTTGATATATTTTAATACAAAATTATATTATGTATCAATTCAAAGCAAATTTTGCGCTCTTATGTGTTTTAATTGCAACCAAAATCTTTAAATTTTTCTCTTTTAAAAAAAATTTTTTTAAAAAATCCAGCTAAAAAAGGGAAGACAATCGAATACAGAATTGCCAAATTGTAAACCGCAAAATGAGTATATTTCGATGATAATCTGAAAACATTCAGTAACAAAAGTACTAGTGTACGTCACAAGCATAAATGCTAAGTCAATCATACATCTGTGAGCCAGGTGTTCCATTGACATGAACGTTTGTCGGACTGACTGATGTTCATACATGAGTAAGGATAAATAATATATCTAAATTCTCTCTCTTAAAATAAAATACCGGATATAAAGCAAGAATGATATCTCAATGTAATGTTTGTTTCAGAAAAGTCACGTGACTTGTTTTTCACTATACAAACGGGGACCCGTGTGTAACCCCCAAATACAATCTTCGGTAATTGTGAAAAGTTCACACTCACACACATGTTTTAATCCTAACTAACCGGGGACATTTTTTCAACATGTTGAAAAACGGATCTTTTCGGCTTTTTGGGGTAATTAGACATCCCTGAATTCAAATTTGGCGCTATTTTTAATCAAAGACAACCGGGGACGTCCTCGGTTGGGAGGTTGTCCCCGGTTGGAAGGTGTGTAAACAAACAATTGTCCCCGTTTGACACCTTTCACGCACGCACACACACCCACCCTCACACACACCTCATATATATATATATATATATATATATATATATATATATATATATATATATATATATATATATATATATATATATATATATATATATATATATATATATATAAAGCACATTTTACAACAACTCTTAAACTAACATAACTGCCCTAAGTGAAGAAATATCAATATAGAAAGCACAGTAAAATTCACTTTTACAAGGATACCGTGGGTACTACACCACTTGCACGGTTCGGTTCGTTTCGTTTTGTGTACGGTACGGTAAGCTTCTTGCACGGAACGGTACGCTTTGTGAACGGTACGGTTCGCTTTGTGCACGGTACGGTACGCTTCTTGCACGGAACGGTTCGTTTTGTGAACGGTACGCTTTGGTGAACGGTATATAAATTAAGTGGGTGGAGCCTGTACGCTTTAGTTTATGATTGGCTACTTCATAAAGTCGTTCATTTCTTTAATATAATCTCTTTATTTTACATAAATGGAAGGACGGTATCACAAGCATTTTTAATAGGTTGTTTTTAAGTTAAAGCTGTTATAAATATTTCCTTTTTACAGCTGTATTTTCGTTATTACATGTAACAAGTCGTCTTATTAACTGTATCTTCTTTTAATTTACTTTTTGTTTGAACTACTTTCAATTTTTAAAATAAAATAATTTTAGTTTTCTATTTATTATCTTATTTTGTACACCATCGCCTCAGGGTTCAATAACTTGAAATAAATCGAACATATCAACAAACACTGCATAACATGAAAAAAAAAAATATGTTGGTTGCCTCGCCATAAAGGCTTTTCTGTATTTCTTTTTTAAGAATAAGCGTACATGTTTTTCCCCTTTTAATTTTCCTAATTGAGTACAATTATTATTTTAAATATTCACTTATCACACTTTTAAACAAATGAGTTTGATTTATAAATCCCTCATGCTTTCATTTCGTCTACCATTCTTTTTACGGTCTTGTCGCTGTTGCTTCATTAAAACAAACAAACAAACAAAATTTATTTTCTCTTGACCGAATGATCAAACAAACAATTAATAAATAAGTTATTATTTTCATATTTATTTGCGAGGAATTTTATTTTTGCTTAGGTGTTAAGCTTACTAGGAAAAATACATTGAGAAGTAATCAGTAGAAGTGCACACAATTAGTGCAAAATATTACTTTTTTTTTCCCCTTTTACATAAATTTTCCATCAATGTGTAAAAACGATTTTTAAAGGGAAGTTACAATCAAGAAAACGGTTAAGACAGCTTCAATTCCATCTACAATGTATAAATGTATATAATATATATTGACTGCAAAGAAAGATTTCCGAAATAAATAATATGTCAAAATGTTAGAAATAAATAGTCCGTTTTCAATTACCTAGACAATAAATAATATGCAGCCATGCATGTCCTCAAAAACTTTGAAAATGAAGAATTTGCCCATGTCGGGTGCTACCCCCACCCCCCACCCCCCTTTGTTTCCTTGTCAAACCCGAACTTTTTTATTGAAGATCTAGAAGAAAAGCTGACTGCACATGAAATTCAACTTATCTGCTGATTAAAACTGGTTCATTGTTGTAGATTTACTGTGTAAGACAGCAAACTATTGATACACGTGTGAATGTAGGCATATCTGGATTAACGGAATTAGAAAAGGGTTCAATATACACAGTTTAAGTTTTTACCTGTGCACGTGTGATGACAATACTTGATCGAAATTTTCAAATGTTTTAGAGTAAATAACAAAAGCATAGATTTTTTTTTCTAGTGATTGAGAGGCGTTTACATTTTAACATGTCCGGTTTCAAATTGACAATTTAGTTCGAAAGTTTTTTTTAATTTTCTTTTTTTTTTCTTTTATTATTATTATAATTTTTTTTTTTTGGCTAAATCTGTAATCATTTCTCCCTAAAACTATTACTTACATGAATAAAAATTATTTTAAGGGCTTGATTTCGGAAAATAGCACGGAATACTAATACATTTTTCAATGTGTCTTGGTTTCTGAGAAAGTCCATAGAGACAAGAATAGGGTAGATAAAAGCTATAGAAATAAACGATAAAGTAATTCACTTTTATTTATTAAAAATTGTACTCGAAAATATAACGATACTGCATTTAATATGAAATAAAAAATTTTAGTCAAGCACAACCCGATCATGCATAGCGAATAAGGAATCGCCTCACACTCTGTCGAGTTGTTTTGAAGTCGTAACTTGTTTTGAGTAGTTTCCTTATATTTACAGATGTAAGTCCAGATGCATGATACTTAAAAATAATATTTTGAATGTCTACGGTTATTTTCCATCCTTCTTTAACGAGCGCTGCGTCGAAAGTAATAAAACATAAACACTTACTGTAATTGGTCATTGCAAGATCCGGGCGTGGCTTGCATAATTATATCAAAAATTATTCATGAACGGTACGGTTCGCTTTGTGCACGATACGGTACGCTTCTTGCACGGAACGGTTCGTTTTGTGTACGGTGCGGTTCGCTTTGTGCACGGTACGGTCCGCTTCTTGCACGGTACGGTTCGCTTCGTGTACGGTACGGTTCGTTTCGTGTACGGTACGGTTCGCTTTGTGCATTGTACGGTACGCTTCTTGCACGGAACGGTACGGTTCGTTTCTGAGGTGTAGTAGCACGTTTTAAGGTCTGTATATGAACTTTGACCCCTCAAAGAGTTATGAACTCTTTCGCAATAAAAGCTTGTTATCGCTACTCCTCCGAAACCGTAAACCGTAGAGTTACAAAACTTTCACCGATGTCTTCGACTGCTTGAGAATACTTTTCAATCTGTCATTGTGAAATGATAGTTGGAGCACTATGATGAGTTATTGCCCCCTGAGAGTTTTTGTTCTTTTACGTATAATGAAAATAATGAAACCGATTAATTGTAGAGACACGAAACTAACTGCATTGGATTCTTCATCATCTGACCTTCAAAATTTGTTCAAGGTCAAAGGTCAAGGTCATTCTAAATATGAGAAATTTAGCTCTTTTAAAATCTCTCTTGTCTTACAAAATATATTACATAACGTTAAATACATCAAATGTCCTTTTAAAACTATTTTCAGATTTCACTTTTTAACCCCTAAGCCTGACGCATTAAAATGTTCTTGCCCCTTGTGCGAAAAACCTTGTTATCGCTACTCCTCCGAAACCGTTGATCGTAGAGATGCGAAACCTTCAACAGTGTCTTCGACTACTTTAAAAACTTTGACCTTGAAATTTAAGTCAAGGTCAAAGGTCAAGGTCATTTAAAACATGAATCCTTCGATGAATCCTTTGGCAATGATAGATTGAAAACCCCTCTCTCAATTAGTGAAAAGCATTGGTGAAGGTTCTGTATATCTACGGTTTGTGGTTTCTGAGGAGTAGCGATAACAAGCTTTTCTTGCGAAAGGGGCAATAACTTCATTAAATGTCATCGATCGAAATCGTTGGGTCAAATCTGAAAATCATTTAAGTAGTCGACTAATATGAAAGACGCGTCTCTTCGATAAGTTGCGAAACAAAAAATCAGCGGAAGAAAAATAATAATAAGAATAATAATAATAAACAGAAGAAAATCAATAGGACTTTCCACAGAAAGGTGGAAAGCCCTAATAAACAGAAAAAAATCAATAGGTCTTTCCACAGAAAGGTGGAAAAACCTAATAATGAACAGAGGAAAATCAATAGGTTTTTCCACAGAAAGGTGGAAAGATTTAATAATAATAATAATAATAATAAACAGAAGCTTTTCAAGAGGTCTTTCCACAGAATGGTTGAAAGATATAATAATAAACAGAAGAATATCAATAGGTCTTTCCACAGAAAGGTGGAAGGACTTAATAACAATACGAAACAGAAGAATATCATTAGGTCTTTCCACAGAAAGGTGGAAACAAATAATAATGATAATAATAATATTAATAATAATAATAATTTCAAGAGGTCTTTTCACAGAAAGGTGGAAAGACCTAATGATAATAATCAAAATAAACAAAACAATTCCAATAGGTCTTTCCACAGAAAGGTGGAAAGACCTCATAAACAGAACAACTTCAAAAGGTATTTCCACAAATAGGTGAAAAGACTTAATTACCTGTCAGACAATCACGCCTCTCTATGTATCTGTATACGGACACTCTCTTTTTAAGAAATCCAACCCAAAGAAAGGTATTTTTGCTGTCATAACTCAGGGCCCTTGGCTTGTCTTGTAGTTGATGATTTGTCAGTATCTGTGACAGGAAATTGCCATCCTTGTCAATCATCTGTACTTTGTTGCTATTAAGATCACACACCAGGATGTTTGACAACGGGTCAGTACAGATTGCAAAAGGGAATAGTCCTTGTTGATACCCTGAGTAGGAGAAGCGATATCTTCCCCCGCACTCCGTCACCACTACATCATTATACCAGTCAGACACAATGATATCTCCATTTTGGTTCTCTGTGATGTATCGAGGTTCATTATACAATTCCTTTCCTCTAATCTTTTGTTGTATTGTCTGTATGAGTTCTCCCGTGTCGTTATACCTTGTTACCTTGCCTTTTTTTGTATCACTATTTTGCATCCCGACCAGTAGATCTCCATTGGAGGGGGAGCAGTAGACACAGAGTGGCATCCATGGTTTTGTTTCTTTTATCAATGTAGATATTTTCCTGTTATCTTCAGATAGTTTTCTAATATTATGATACTCGTCTATGTAAATAAGATCACCGTTAATGTTCACTGTGTGTACTCCAAATCCCGCACATATACCTCTTAGATGATTTAGTTTTTCACCTGCTGTGTTAGTCAAAACTAGATTGTTATAATCGCTGACCCAGATCCGGTTTGATGACACAGAGGAAATGTGTATTACGAAATCAACACCTTTCACTTTTACAAATGAGCATAGCATTGGTGTAGGCGACAGTTTCCCTTCTTGTATCTGTTTCTTTTTTATGACATTAAAGTCATTTAGAACGTTAGTCAAATCCTCTTTATTGACTTTCTCATTCATGGTGAGCAGAGGGGCGTAGTATGTAAGTTTAGGAGCATTTTTTATCGTCGGGACGTGCTTTTTGTTTCGAAGTAAAAGAAATGTGACCGCTCTAAATGCCGACTGTTCTAACCTGTGTTCAAATTGTTCTATGATGATAAGGTGTCTGGTCATATTTCTCCTCTGTTGTTTTAATTTATGCACCATATTAACTCTACCGCTTTTAGAGAGTTCCTCTTTAAGTTTCTGGCCTTTTCTTGATATCATTGATTGAAAGTTGGAAATGTCCTTGTTACAAGTTTTTATATTGGTTTTGATTGCCGCCAAAAAACAGCTGTGAAAGAAAGATTCATTTCTGATGGCTTGAATGATTTCTTTTTGACGGTTTGTTTTGTATGCTGTTCTAATGTCCAGTTTTCGGTGATTTCTGTGTTCTGTACATTTGAAACACGCAGGAAGTTTACACTTGCGACAGAAGTTTTCAAGAACACTGCCTGAATGTCTCACACAGTTTTCTTGTTTTGTGATGTTTTCATATTTCTCACGATAAATTACAACATCATGAGTTATTGTATCTAAATTACTAACATGTCTCTCTTTACAAAATAGACATAAACCATGATTACACGTGTTACAATAGAATTCAATATCTCCTTGACACTGATAACACTGTCGTACCTTACACTGTGCATTGAATTTCTGCGCATCCATGACGTATAGGGTGTAGGTTATTAAGCACCAACATTCTGAAACATTGTTGATTAAATATCAAAAATCCAACTCATAGAATATATAATTTTGAAAAAATGTAAAAGAATTAATTTTGTTTAGATTAACGATATAGATAAACTTTAATACACAGAATCTTGAAATTGATATCTCAAAAGCTATCTACCGCATGTATTTCATAATGTATAATATATTGATGAGTCACCTTCATTGGAGCAGTAATTAAATATTAAAACTAAGAAAAAGGTCATCATAGGAAAGTTTGCATTTTTCTATGATTATTGTAACACGTAAATAAAAATGTTGGGAAAAAAAGGCAAACTGATATGTTTGTCAATTCAACCTCATATACTAATGACAATTCAAATTCCACTACAAAATTATACAAAATTAGAGCCTGATTTAAGTCCTCGAAATCAAAAATTGCCTCATCTCAAAACATGAACTTAATTTTCATTAATTATTTTATTTTATTTTTTGTTTTTTTGTTTTTTGATATCTATTATACTTTTTTCTAGAGAAGATTTTGCATGGTAGTGTTTTGATAAAAAAAAAAAGTCAATAGTAATGTCATTTTGTGTAATGTAACGTCCCGTCAAAGGACGATAGAAATGGCAATCGATTACAATATATGAATACAAAACTTGAAGTTGAATATTTTAAAATAGATATTTACTTATTTAACATCATAATCAATTGAATATTATATTTAAAAATAGTAGATAAAAATGTTCATTTGATATACCACTGAATTTTGTCCGGAAAGAATCGCGAGAAGGTGTTTCTATGGAAAACGACTTTTACTGCAGTATTTTTTAGATCTTTGAAATAGGCAATATTTGAGACTTTCAACGATCAAGATCTAAATACATATCAGAGAAGAAGAGAACTGGTATATGCTATTTTGAAATATTTATTTTAAAAAATTTAAGACAAGGACAAATGGAATAAAAGAAAAACTGAAAAGGAGGTTTCGCTCCTGTATATTTCGAAGCTCAGCAAAAACTTCTTAGTCCTAAATGCGGTATTTTCTGGAGTAAAATTTAATTAAGGGGATTCAGGACACAAGTTTAAGTCACATGACACAATTGACCATGTCATAAGCCCTATTGCTAAGATTCTCAAACATTATAAAAATCACCAGTGGTTGTGTAATTTTTGTACAAATTGTTATATCTTTCCATCTTAGATGAAAGTATTTCCAAGTTTTAAAATTTATAACAATATTTACGAATGGTTAAAACGATTGACCTTTTCCCCTGTTTCCCCTACACTGCGGGTCTAACAAACCAGTGCCGTCACACAATTGAGAAATAAACAACGTTATTAAGTACATATAGCGTCAGGAAAAGCAATTGTGACATATTTTCCATGATGCGTGCTAGCTATTCGTAACGTCATGTTCCCTGAAAAAATTGTTGTTTATTACTTATATTGCATTCTGTGATGTCAAGAATGTCAGAGAAAATCCTGACATGCATAAGAGCATGACTGCTTGACTTCAGTGTTGAAAAAATTATAAGAAAATTTGCAGACCTGATATATCCGCCTATCTCTAGTAAATCACATATAATATACATGGTATTTGTTTCTTTACCAAGTTATCTGGATACAAACCACACCCTCTTCAAATTCTCGTAACTTTTTGTTTTGATTCAGTTGTGACCTCATCGTTCAAAGTATTGAAACTCTGTGAGAAAAATTATTAATAACACCATTATGGAAAAAAAGAGAGTGCTTTTATTTTGATGTTAACTTAAGGATGACGTTAACTCAGGGTTTAGTTGACAGAAACGGATTGCTATAAAGTACAATATATTTAAACAAATATTGCTCTAAGTGGACAAAATTACATTCTAATTAATAAATATCAATGTTAAAAGAACAGGGTATGGTTTCAATATAAATCTGGTCCTGTATTTTGCTAAAATAGAAAAGTGATGTATTAAAACAAAACTAAAGGGCTAAAAATGCTTTCTGAATCGTTGAAATTTCATGCAGTGGGATCATAAAATTCGCCTTTCTCATATGACCTCTTTAATGCTAACTGTGATTTCAGGAACTTGTGCATTTTCTCATATTTTCTCGAAAAGTTGCGGAAGTCATCAACAAAATTTCAATTTTTCATTTTTCCTACTTATTATTTCTTTTTGTATTTTTTTCCCTGAAAGTTAAGATTCTTTGTATTTTTTACATCATTTTGCAAATACTAGGTGTGTTATTGCTTATGTATTGGGTCAGATAATTAAGGTAGGTCGCGGGTTTACTGCATAAAATTCTTACAAGAAAACATATCCTGAAAATTTGATATAATGTTCCTTAGAATTTGAAGCATATTTAAGGTCTTCCGTCTCCACGGAAGACCTTATAGTGATTCTATTGTTTCTTATTATTAAGGTCTTCCGACTTCCTTCGGAAGACCTTATTGTTTTCCGTCTGTATTCTATTATTATTATTATTATTCTTTTTTCATAGTACGGCCGATATCTCAGCTGTGAGTGGACGGATTTCAAAGATTTTTTCAGGGAAGATGCATCGTGAGAATATCTCCAGAAGTTTTTTTCATTTTTTGAAAAATCACTTCCGTTCGCGATTTTTGGGGAAATTTGTTTTTTTTTAAATGGAATTTTGTCCGCTTATTTTCTCGAGAACGGCTAAAGATATGAAATTGAAACTCAATGGCGTGATAGAGCATCAAATGGAAATATGGTGATCGACCTTTATTTTTCGTCGTTTGGACTTCCGGTCGCGAACGGAAGTGAATTCAAAAATGTTAAATTTGCAACTTTTTTGTTTTTCAATATTTTTCTTTGATATTTACAGGGTTAATAGAAAGTCTTCCAAGAATTCTATATATGGTTTCATCATTTTGATTGATGCATTTATTGCAAAGATATGACCGATCCAAACTTTCTCGTATGTTGTGGGTTCGAATCCTGCTGGGGCGGGAGATTGTTTCTCTCTTTTTTCAGTTATAAATAATATTTTTCTCTGTGAAGACATGTATGATAGTTTTTGCTTATTTTTTAAAGCTTTGTTAACAGAGATTCTACAGAAATCCTTTAATAATTATGATCTATGTTGAAAGACTGTGTTACATAAACGCAAACGAAAAATACCTTCAATAAAGTATTAAATAAAGTGAGATAGCATAGCGTTCTCGAGAAAAGTTCGGTCGGAAGACCACTTGTTGCCCTAGCAACAAGAAACGCATCTAGTTATTATTCTTTTTTTTTTTAGACAAAATTTTGTGCACGCGATTTCTCGAAAACTATTCAATGAATTTCTTTGAAATTTTCAGGGATAAAAGGTCTCTATATGAATTTTATATAAAATTCCGGTTTTTGGAAAATTCGGTTCCAGTGCCATGTTATGGACAATTTCCTGATTTTAAAATGAAATTTTGTCCTCGAAGGATCCAAGGAATGGCTAAAGATATGAACTGGAGACTTGTTAGAGATGATAGGACACGACTTTTAGTTTTGCAAAATTGCCTTTTCGTGCGTAGTCAGTATTTCCGGTCGCTTACGGAAGTGATCAAAGAAATCGTTAAATTTCAACTTTCCTTTTTTAAATCAATACTTACATCACATTTTATGCATCTCTTTGGTAGGTTTGAAATATGTTGGTCCTACCGGAAACAAGAACGTCGACTTCCGGTTATAAGAGAAATACTACATAATTTGAGTATTTTTCTTTCCCATTAATATCGTTTGGAGATAAAGTATTTGAAATGAATTTTAAACATTTTATTCAGACTGAAAATTTCTAGAGTAATGTCAAATATCTTTGTAAAACTTTACTTCCGGTCGCGTGTTTTTCTGTCCTCAAAATGAGAAGTTTTCTGAGCAAGATCTCGGAAACGGTAAGAGATTAAGACACCAGACTTATATGAGTAACAGACCTTAAGATGTAGCCAAAACCATTTGGGTTCAAAGCGTCAGCCGTCAATTCCGGTCGTCACAGGAAGTGATCAAAGAAATCGAAAATTTCAACTTTCCTTTTTTTTAATTAAAATTTGCATCACTTTATTGCATCTTTTTTTCGCAGATTCGAAAGATGTTGGTCCCACCGGAAACAAAAACGACAACTTCCGGTTATAAGAGAAAACTACTTAATTTGAGTATTTTACTTTCCCATAAATATTCTTTATAGATAAAGTATTTGAAATGAATTTCAAATATGTTATTTATAGTGCAAATGTCTTGAGTAACCTTAAATATCTTTCAAAAATGAGCTTCCGGTCGCGTGTTTTTTATCTCCAAAATGAGAAGTTGACTGAGCCAGATCTCAAAAACAGGTAGAAGATTAAAACACCAAACTTTTATGAGTAATAGACCTTGAGGAGTAGGCAAAACCATTTGGGTTCAACGCGTCAGTCGTCACTTCCGCTTGTTACCGGAAGTGATCTAAGAAATAAAAAAAATAACATTTCTTTTTCAAATTAAACCTTCAATCACTTTATTGCATGTTTTTTGCTGTTTTGAAATATGTTAGATTCCACCGGAAACAAAAACGTCAACTTCTGGTTTTAGGAGATAAACTACATTATTTTTATATTTTAATTTCCCATAAATATTGCTTATCGATAAAGTACTTGAAATGATTTTATGTATGTTGTAGGTACTGCAAATGTCTAGAGAAATGTCAGATATTTTTATAAAATTCACTTCCATTCGCGTGTTTACCTGTCCTCAAAATTAGAATTTGTTCTCACAATATTGCTCGGCAACAGTAAACGACTGAAGTCTAAAACCTCCAGGACTGATACATGTAGTTAGTCATCAGTTTATTTGAATCGTGAGAAAATCTAGTATCGCCGTTACATGTACTTCAGGTCGTGACAGGAAGTGATGTAAAAAAGTGAATGGTTAATGGTTAGCACGTTGGATTTTCACGCTGACGACCAGTGTTAAGTCTCCATAGTGTCTGAATTTCTTTTATAACTTTTTCAGCTTGATTTTTTTTTTTTTTTTTTTTTT